TTATTTCCCTAATAAGATTCCAGGATATTTCTAAAGAAGATTTGTTTGATAAAATTGAACCATATCAAATGCTTTTTTCTAAAGCTTTATGGAAAAACCTTTTACAGACTCATCTTTTCCCTGATAGACAACAAACATTAAATTTATTGCCATCAAGAATTTCAAATTTGAAACCAACATTTGAATCATTAACAATCAATCAAAACTTAACCTTGCTTTTTGCAAGTTGGATTGATAGAAAAAGTCCACCATATACCTCATTCAGAGAAGTCAAATATGAATTCAAACTTCTATATTGTAGTAGCAGGGATGGTTTAGATGCTGCCACATTTCATCAAAAATGTGATAACATCAACAAAACTCTTGTAGTTGGTAAAATGAAAAATTCTGAGCAAATAATTGGTGGTTATAATCCATTAAATTGGAATGGAGGTGATGTATGGAAAAATACAACTGAAAGTTTTATATTTAATATAAGTAATTGGAAAGATATCAATACTGCTCAATTTAGTTATGTTATCAAGAATTATGAGTGTGCAATTTATTGTGGTCCTTCTCTTTTGCCTAGATTTGGTGGTGGTCATGATGTATATTTTAATCCAAATGATTATGGTGGTGGTGCATGTCATACTTATAATAACATCAATATAGTAAATGGTGGTAAATTTGATGAATTAGAAATTTTCCAAATAATTGATAAAAAATAAAAATATGTTTTAGATTATTATTGTAATTTAGTAATTAATTTATAAATATATACATATAATATTGGGGCATTATTTAGAAATCACCTTTTAATGATTGGCTGTTCATTTTCACCAAAAAAATTTTGAAAGAATAATAAAATGAATCTGACAAAAAAAAAATATAGAAGATTTTTATGATGTAAATTATGTGTTGGTGTGGAGCCAAACGTTAAAGAAGTTCATTCATACACATCCATCATGACAGCTAGCTCATTGTCCATTTTTTAGCAATGGAACAAAAGAAAATGGATATGTTAGTAAAAATGCTTCAAGCCTATTCTCAAGTATGTTCAAATTGTTTATTTTTATACTGTCATAGTTGTAGATTATTTACAAAGTCACAAACCTCGACTCGCAATATAAAACAAATAATCAAACCATTGCTTTCTTACTAATAAGATTAAATGCTTATCAATTGTTGACTTTGTTTATGATCCACCACATAATTCTGTCCCATCAGCATAAAAATCATCTTTCGTATTTTTCACTAAAGCTGTATGTGCAATTATTATTATGCATTCATTTCGAGTAAAGTTATAATATTTGTATCAAGAAAAAACATTCGAAAATTTATTGGAAAGAATTAATCCTCAAATTTTTTTAAAACAAAACCAAGAACGATATGCTTAAATTAATTTTATTCGATAGTTTGAGATTCTCGTCTAAAATTTCCAAACCCCGATAACAAAGCATGTGTTATTTTTATTTTTTATTTATGAAAACGAGATCATTAGACCAAAAGACCTTGGGTCTTTGACTACTTTTTGTCGAGTAAAGCGGGCATTTTTAAAAAAACCTGATACCTTATCTATTACAGTATTCGACCAAGTTCGTAAGACTTAATTGTCGAACCGAATGTTACATCAAAGGCCCGATAGCGCGATGGAAAGCTAATATTGACACTAAGAATGATTTTATAATGTATAATAAATAATGTCATATAAACAATGATTCCAAGTGTATATACTTTTTTAGTCCCGAAAAAACACTTTTAACAATGTTTGGGGTGCGATTAATGGGTATAAAAAAGTATCAAGAACTTTAAATGAAGAAATTGTAGATGATGATGGTGATGATGATGAAACACATATGATTATCATTATTTTCGTAGTTTAGGTTGAGTGGAATGAAATTCGGTGTTGAATATGGCATGTGTGAATGAGTTAGTTTGTAATAATATATTTACTTATATTTGACGAGGATAAAATGTTCTTTTTTTTTAGTATTATATGAATTTAAGCACACGGCAAGATTTTTTATAATTAGTCATTATTCATTGATCTTTTATCTAAACCATAGATATTAACTCCCATGTGATGACAACGATAATGAAATCATAATGAAAATCATAATTTTCACAATGTACAAAAGAAAGAAAGGTAATTTTTATTAAGAGCATTTATTTTATAAACAACTATTCTTTTATATGATTATGACAATAAATAATGAAGGATTTTATTGTTAAAAAAATATTATAAATTAAAATATTAATTGAAATATTTCTACCAGAAAAAGTTAATTAAATTATATATATAATGTGTATGTATGTACATTCCCCTATCATAAATATCCGACTACCTGATGATCATTTTAATAATCGGAAATGTTACGATGCAGTTCAAAATTTTATTAATCAAACTGGGACTGGTGTATGTATGTATGTATGTATATATATATAGGTATATATGTATGTATGAATTATATTTATAATGTGTGTTTGTGTGTGCGCGCGTTCGTGTGTTTGTGTATTTGTGCGCGTGTATTTGTGTGTTTTATTAAGGTTCCCTTATTTAAAATGAATTTCTTTTATCATTTTATCTTGATTCTTGTGAATCCTATTTTTTCGACTTGCCAGTCAATTTTTTACCAATTGATTGACGAGGCAATGCTATTTTGATTTTCATAATATTTGAGTTTTTTCTTGCATTCTCCATCCATATGAGTGTTCAATCCAAAAAACCTGGGTTTAATTTCACAAAACCTTTTATGCCTTGCTGCCAAATATGTTAAAATTGCTTGATCCTGTCGATGGTTCTCTCTACTGCTGCCTTTCGGTGCAATACATTCTTTTACTAAAGCACATTCTACCCAATCATTAATTAATGAACCTACTTTATTTGAATCGAATGCTATTGCTGCACCATTGCAATTTAAAAAATTCGCGTATTTGTTTGGATCATCATTAAAATATTTGAAAACACCCGGATGTGTCCATTTTTGAATGTTACCATATGATGTGGGTGAAAAGAATCCATTATAATAATCCAAGGTAAATTCGAATTGCTCCAAAAATTCCGGCGACACGTAAGTTCCTGAGTCAAGCCATAATGTTGGCCCAGGATAATCTTTAACAACCTCTGATATTATACCAGGTTTCCAGCCGTATTCTCCTCTAGTATGATTTCGTATTCTCCAGAATTCTGGATAAATTCCAAAATCAAATCTTCTCAGTTCAGTCATGTATCCTTTGTCAAGTAAAATACTTAACCATCTGTGCTGATCCTTCAATAATCCTATATCATAAACTATAATCCTGGGTCGTTTTGATACTTTAATCGAGTTTGTTGCTCCTTTCAAGTCGTAAAGCCAACATTGTATTGCACGGAAATGATTTTTGCTTGCTGCTGTTACTATTGTAAAAGGTTTTGTTTCTTGATGATTTATTATTTTGTCGTGTTTGTTGTTATGGATGCTAATAGCGGTGGTGGGATTTTTGTGAACCAATACATCTATATAACAACAATAACGCCAATAATATATATAGGTAATTAATCTTTGAAATATTTTAATATTTTGTTACAATAATAATTTCATAATGTAATTTTACAAACCTATTGATTCATGATAAGAAATAAAGAATGATGCGATTGTTATTGTTATTGTTAAAAGAAAGACTACGGTTATTTTGAGTCGTTTCCATGTCATTTTTTTCGTTATTTTAATTTTCAAAAAAAGAAAAAGTTCGTTCAATTTATATTAATTTTGGATCATTTTGATCATTTTGATCATTTTTGGATATCATTTATATTAAATATTACACAGTATGAAAGTCTGTTTGTTTGTTAAAATCATTATCACTCTATTTTTGTCCAATAATAATAATTTGTTTTCAAATGGATGACCAATAGTACTCGGTTTTGAAAAATTTTTATCAGAAATTAATATTAATTTATTTTGCTAAAAAAAATAATTTGAAGTTTCGGGTATTAGATTCGCGGCAAGTAAAATTGAATTTATGGGATATCTTGGCAAGAGCATTATTAAATGATCATACAACTTCAAAATTATGCATCATGTGTATGTTTGACTCTTTAGAATCATACCAACACATAATTATCATTAATATTAAAGTTCATTCACCGGGAAATCTTGTCATTAAAATTATAAATAAAATTTCCCAAGCTCAATATAGCAGTTCATATTTCCAATACAATATCATTTACTATTATACATATGTCATTTTTTTTTGCACTTTATTATTCAAATCCATATATGGTAAGAATATTTAAATATTAATATGGGTTTCAAAATTTCTTAATTTGATGAATAATAATAACTCGAAAATTATTTCCGGTGTTGAAAATTCAATGGAAGGTCTCGAACAATCTTAGAAGAGGATTTATTGGAAAATCTCTACCATTGTTGTTCTTGGATTGGAAAATAAATTTAGATTTAAATTTTCTGGACGAAAATGAGAATATAGAATTTTCTATCAATTCTGCAATTGGTAACTGACATAAATTCTATTTCAAAAACGTGTGTCCAAACACTTTTTTCCATGTAGTGTATAGAAGAAATATACAATGATGAAAATGAAAGTTTAGTAAAAAAAATTTACATCCATTATAGAAAATTTATTAATAAAGACTGGTTTAATGAATTCACATGCTTGGAAAAAGAAGAAATCGACAATTTATTTCAAACTTTGCAAAAGTAGAAACGGGAAATCATTGTTTTTAATCAAAAATATCCCATGAGCATAAGAATTATTACTTTAATCGAATCAAATTGGATTAAACAGAAGTAATACGGTAGATAAACAAAGTTTACCAATTATTCCATTTGATGAGAAAACTTTTATTTTTCATCTAAACAAAATCTCCTTTGAAGGATTAAAAACTTTCCAAAAATGTCTGGATTAGGTGCAGAGGATAAAATGATAATAAGCCTCATCTGTGGAGGTGTTACAACGACCCATGCTGGTTAATGAATGTTTAAGGGCCTTAGAAATATTCGATCCATTCACAACCATTTAAGGATTTTCACATCCGGATTTGTGATGGATTAATCAGTTAAAAATAGCAAATGTTATTATTATTTAATTTTTATTTATGAATTGTTTCAAATTGCAATTTGTTTGATTCTCACGTCAACAAAAAACAACGCCACATTATTTACCGGCTTCGTTTTAAACAGAATAAGAATAATATAGGAAAATGATTGATACTAGCATCTGAAATATCGTGTAGTTTCTTTATAAAATAAAAGTGTATATTAATTAATTTATTTTTTTCTTAAAAGTAATCCATTAATTATAGGGTTGATGCTAATATTAATATATATTAAAAGATTACTATTACTATTACGGGATTACAATTATTTATTATCTTATTATTATTTATATTAATATCATTATCATGTTTATTATAGGATTTGGTGTTACATAACGATAATGCATGCATTTCATTTTCCTTTCATATTAATATTAAAAAAACTCCGGATAAATAAAGGTCTTAAACAACGAATTTTACATGTTTATATTGATTTGTGAAGCAAAAATTTTAAAAATTCGTTGTAACCAAGGTTGAGTAACGAATATCTCCTTTTCGTCACATGCTGAAAATAAATGCGACAAAAATTCTACACTTTTTTAATATTAAAACGTGACGATTATTTAAAAAAAAAAATATTCATATGTCAAATTTTAATTCATCGATTACTTCTTGATAGTCATCATATTATATGAATTTACAATTAGCAGTTGTTCCACATAGTGGTGGATGTGAACACATTTTTTCATATTTAATATTAGGAGACTTATGGGAAGAACCGTCAAAATCTAAATGTCGATTCTCGATTCTTTTTATCTAAGAAGGAGCTGGCCAGAAAAAGGTTGAAGCAAAAGTTAATTTGGATAATGGTGAATGAAAGTGATGATGATAAAAGTGATAATCATATTGGTTATATTGATGATGAAAATGATGATGATAACAATTATCATGATCATGAGACAGAGTCGCGATATGGATTTAGAAAAAAAAATTTTTTTTTTGAAAAGACAATGATAATAAACGAGTATTTATTTTCAGAAATAGTTTTCAACAATCAGAAAAAAAATCAGATGATTCTACATAGGCAATATGATTTACGATGTAAAAAAAAATGTTTGAAAATTTTTGTTTCTATTTCTATATTTTTGTCACTTCCGTCATATTATATTTTGACGTGTCGAAAATGCCCCCCATTCGATGAAATATTATTTACACTCCAAAATATTTTCGTCTCCCGGCCTTGGTTGTAACGCAACAAATTTATTTTTTTTAAATCTATAATAAGTTCAAGCATCATTCATTACTTATCTAAAATAAAATTGCGCTCTAATAAATTATCACCCGTATTGGTTGTGAAGCTATAGTTATTCAAAACAGCAGCATTACTTTTCACTTCAAAACTAAGATTTTGCCTTTATAATTTTGATTGTGGTTGAAAAGATGTAAAAGATTATAAGATTTCATATGTTTTATTGAACTTTGGAGATTTGTGGTAAATCAATCAAGGTTCAGGAGCTGAAGGAAGGGTTCATATTCTGAAAATTATGACACATTTAAAATAGAGATAGATATTGGGCGAAAATGCTATGACTATTAGGTTTCAAACATTTTAATAAGAAATTCAATTGTCATATTAAACCGTGGTAATAATGAGTTCAAGGCTCATTATTTTATTTTGAAATATTAAAAATTGTTTATATAAGAAAATTTTTAGTTAAAAAGTGATTTTCTTTATACAATGTAAAATAAAACAGTTATATACAAATACTCTGAGATTATTAATTGTGGAATACAGATAAAGAATATAAAAAAATTAATTGTACACGTCTCAAATTTTTTCTGCGCAAATACCAAAAATTCAAGAATGGTTTTTAAAATCAAACAAACATCAGAACACAAAATCATTCTGTCAAACAACTGGCTGGCCAGAAATTTTCTGGTAAAAAAATTGGCTGGATCTATATGAATGAATTTTAGCCCTAGCATCTATCTATACGGTCGCGTTCACTTTGTCGACAATCACTTCGCTGACAGTTCATTTCGTTGACAAACACCTTCACTGATAGTTAGTTTGTATGTGATGATAGTGATGGTGATGATATTGTCACTGACTATTTTGGTGATTATAATGATTGATATGCTAATGAACAGTATTGAGGTTTCGTTTGAATCAAAACTCTGGAAATATTTATTTTTCTGATGATGATTCTTTTCGTGATGCATCATTAATATGCCTGCAAACTAATTAGTATCCAAATTTTCTTTTTATATAAATTTCCTGATGCTTCTAAAGTCACGATTCCTATAATCAGTGCGTATGCTACGTCAGAACTATCGACGAAATGGACTGTCAACAAAGTGATTCGAAGTGATTGTCGATGAAACGAACTGTCGACGAAATGTGTGTCGACGAAGTGTTTGTCGGTGAAATGAATCATGCCAATAGGGCTAGTGTTTAAAAGTATTTTGACTAAAAATAGAAATAATTTAATTGAAATATTTGATTTTATCATGGATCATTTATCAAAAACAAGTGTAACATATTTATTGATTGATATAAATAAAAATATTTTTTTCAAACCGCGTAATCAAATATTTGTTATAAACTCGAGCTTCTTATTAAAGTAATGTGAAACTATGTCATTAAAGCCTCCCGACAAATATTTGTTTATGTCGAAAGCTTTATTACTTAAAATAACATTCTTTTTGGAATATTGCTTAAAAGGCGGGCTAGCTTTTTGATCAACACCGACCGATCAATTGTTTAACAAGTATGCCGATTTAACTTCCTTGGGCTACTCTTGTCGGCTAATTGCAAGAAATGCAACAATAATTCGGTGTTTGTCAATTTATTACATGCCCCATAGGACTTTTTCATCAGTCTCTGAAATATAGCAGGTGTGTTCTTCAAACCAAAAGGCATAACTGTGAACTCATACAGTCCATGTGACTTTGAGTTCTTTTCTTTTCTTCCGGGTATACACGTTAAATGCTCTGCGACATCTTTTTGGCATGAGATTTCTTTGGAGTCCATTCATGTAATCAAAACTAAGTTTCAATGAATGTTTTGAGTAAATTTTGTATATACTGTATGTGACTTGAATGTAGCTGGTGAAGAATACCAATAATAAACGCAGGATCAAGTTCTGTATTTGCTTGGTTATTCTGTGGGAATAAATATTTTTTATTATCCCTTAAATTTAAAGCAACAACAAGTCTTTATGAACATTGATGTATTTTAAACGGTCTTGACTAATGATGTATGACGAAAAGTAAAAATTGTTGTTGATGAAAAAAATTGAAATTTTTTGTTTTACAATAACGTAAAGAAAAAAACCCATTATTATAAAACAGTCAGTAGAGATTCTGTAGAACTTTCAATTCCGTACACTATTCTTCTTGTTCCGTGCATTTAATTTTTATACGAATTTGTGAATTCTGAAAAGTTGGCCAGTCTGTACGATCTTCGATTCCATATTTTGCATAATTTACTACGGAGGCGCAGATGTACGAAATACATTAAAAAAATAATTTATCTTGCATTCCTCTGCCCTCTTTTCCGCTACCTCTCCCATTATTATCATCTTCGATAAGAATTGTTCTGTACAGTATAATAAAAATAAATACATACAGTATAATACTAAAAAGGAATAGAGTTCAATAACCAATCAATATTTTGAAAAAACCCCTGATAAAGCACGAGTCTCGATCTACGAAACTACATGTATAATTTTTTAACACGCAGTATGCAAAATTATTAAAGTTGAGAAAATTTTAGTTGTTTTAAGAATGATTTTTTTATTATATATTATTCAATATTTTATGGATTATAAAAAAAATTTTTTTTTCTTTTAAAAATAGATTTCTTCATGATTTCACTTTTTGTTTTTTGTTTTATGTTTTTTGTTCATTTGAAACTGGTAGTGGAGGGAGACATAGCATTTATTCGCTGTTGTTCGATGGCATTGGTAGCCGTTCTTCCTTTCTGCATAAACATTTATTTGTATTAAATTAATTTCTTGTAAATATTTCTACTTAACAGTATAATTAATATGACAACAAATCGTTCGGCTTAAGAAGAATTTTCCGCTATAGAATAGGAATAATTTATAATTTACATATTAACATAAATTGGGCGTATTAAATTGACAAATAAAGTCAATCTAATTTTTAATTGTTAAAGTTTGACAATTGGAAAGATTTTCTAGGGGATTCTGGTCAGTGTAAAATTTCGGTGTGAAAATAGTACAGATTTTCTACAAATTAGAAATTATCTGCAAAAATTTACCATGTATGACGTTACACCCGCACATTCCGCACGTTGAATTATCCTGGTCCCTGATTTTCGCGATTTTTAAAATTCGTGAAACGTATATGAAACAGGAGATTTATAGTTGTGCTGCATTTAAACTATGAAAATCAAAAATCTGCTTCGTAATTCTGAGAATAAAAAGTATTATTATATATTTTGGTGAAATGTGTATTTAACTGGTTAGCAGCATTAGTAAATTTCCTTTTAAAAAAAACAAAGTTTATAATATGTGAAAAAAGTTCCCCAGCATCATTACAAAATAATTGGTTAATTTACGTGATGCAATATTAATAGACAGATGCTGACATTCATTGGCTCAATATATGACAAATTCGTAAATATACTTGTATAAAAAAACCCCCGATTACAAATTACAATTACAGTAATAAACGGTAGTATTATTTTTAGAAAAGGCGGTGATGATAATGATGATATTGATAATATTGACATATATCTCAATTACTAATGATTAAATTTGATGAAATTTTGGATTAATAAGATGTATAAAGAAGAAAAATATGATAAGGCATTATGTCACTTTAAAACAAGCCCGTGTCTCAGGCTGTGGGCTGTGTCTATCTACCACTTGTATTTGTAAAACTAAAAAAAAAGTTTTATTTTATGAGTGTTACGAAATCATTTAGAATTCCTATTTTTAGCTATTTAATAAAATTTTAGAGAAGGCTATAAAGGTAGGTAATTGCCATTCGGAAGGCTTATAAAATTATCTACACCAATTAATTTTCTCTGTTCTTGTTTTTAGCAAAAAGATAAATGATCTGCGAATTATTTTTTTTTTTTTGATCTTTATTAACAAATAAAATGTTTAGAATATCAACAATTAATCATAAAAAATTATTACCAGGTGTATTAACAACATTGAGAAATCAATTATCAACCATTATCCCCACTACTAATGCTACTAATGTAAACATTTAATATGTACAAAGATATATAATTGCAAGAATTTTAATGATTTTTTTCTATCCAATTATATATATTATATTTAGAGAAATTATGTTTCAAATACTCAACATGAAGTAATTAATTAATCATCAATATTGTAAATTTCTTAAAATAATTAAAATAATTACTAATTCGATTAATTTATTATTAATAATGACTGTTAGTACATGAATCAACGTTTGGAGAAAATTGATCCTGTTGTTTTTGATATTATTGAAAAAGAAAAGAAAAGACAACGTGAAAGTATTGTATTAATTCCTTCTGAAGTATGTATACATAATTAATTTATTGGCAGACAAAATATATTTTTATATCATATATAAATATTACATTCTTGTTATTTTTCTATCCAAAATCATCAAAAAAGAATTTTACATCACATTCTGTTATGGAAGCATTAGGATCAGTGATGCAAAATAAATATTCAGAAGGTTATCCTGGTGCAAGGTTAAAATAATAATTAATCAAGATTTTTTAATTTATAAATTATTAATATTTACTTATTATAATTAAATTAATGTGGATATATTATTATATCGTTACGTTAGATATTATGGAGGAAATGAATATATTGATCAGGCAGAAACTCTTTGTCAGAAACGTGCTTTAGATGCATTTGATTTGGATGAATCAAAATGGGGTGTAAATGTACAATCATTATCTGGTAATAATCAAAGGAATAAAAATAGTTGTATTTATTATTATTATTTACTATCATTATTGTCATTTGTAGGTGCACCTGCAAATTTATATGTATATTATGCTATATTAAAGCCACATGAACGATTAATGGGATTAGATTTACCTCATGGTGGACAGTAAATATTATTAGATTAATTAAAAGATCTATATTAATTTTTTGCTTCAAAAAATAACAATAATAATAATAATTATAATTATTATTATTATTAATCGTCAGTTTATCTCATGGATATCAGACCGATACAAAAAAAATATCAGCAGTATCAGCATATTTTGAAACTGTGCCATATAGACTAGATGAAAAAACTGGCAGGATCGATTATGATGTTTTGGAATTAGTTGCTTCATTGTATCGGCCAAAAGTAATTGTTGCTGGAGCTAGTGCATACCCAAGAAATTTTGATTATGAACGTATGAAGAAAATCGCTGACAAAGTTAATGCTTATCTAATGGCTGACATTGCTCATTTAAGTGGGATGATATCTGCTGGTGCATTACCATCACCATTTGGTCATTGTGATATTGTCACAACCACAACTCATAAATCTCTTAGAGGTCCACGTGGTGCTCTAATATTCTATAGAAAAGGCGTTAGAAAAGTTACAAAGAAAGGAGAAGGTGATGATTAAGATGAGATTGTTATATATTTTTTTTTAAGCATTGGCCAAGAAAAAGGTCTTTATGAATTTCGCCTCTCCCAGAAATTAAGAGGCTCTCTTTAAAAAAAGGAAGGTGGCATATATATTTTTTTTTTTTGCATTGTTTTGACTTTTGATTTTTTTTTTAAAAAAAAGAAATACATTATGATCTTGAGAATCCTATCAATCAATCAGTATTTCCTGGACATCAAGGTGGTCCGCATAATCACACGATAACAGCATTGGCTGTAGCTCTTAAACAAACAAAATCACCCATGTTCAAAGAATATCAACATCAAGTTATAAAAAATAGTTTATCATTTGCAAAATCTTTTTCTGATAAAGGTTATAATATGGTATCAGGTGGTACCGATACACATTTATTATTATTAGATTTAAAATTAAAGGAAATTGATGGTGCAAGAGTAGAACGAGTTCTTGAATTAGCAAATATTGCAGCTAATAAGAACACTGTGCCAGGTGATAAAAGTGCCATGACACCAGGTGGTATTCGTGTTGGAACCCCTGCAATGACAACACGTGGACTCAATGAATTGGATTTTGAAAAGGTTGCCGAATTTGTTCATCGTGGTATTCAAATTGCCATTGATGTTAAAAAACATAAAGTAAAAGGTAATAAAATAATCAATTATTATTGTATTACTAGGAATATTTATAATATTTACGTTGGTTATTTATATTATTTATATAGGTAGAAAAGTTAGTGATTTTAAAGAATTTTTAGGTGAAGATGGATCCTCAGAACCTAGAATAGGTGAGTTAAAACAAGAAGTTATAGAATTTGCAAAAAAATTTCCGACAATTGGATATAATGAGAATGAAATGAAATACACTTGAAAATAATTGATTATATTTAAAAATTTTTTTTTATTTTTATTTTTTGAAATAAATTTATTATCATTTAAAACGTTTTGGTATTGAGAAATATTGGCATTTATTCTCGATTTATTGTAAAAAAAGATTGTCACATTTCCGTATTAGAACCAGATGACTTTTTTATACCACTAATTTTTGTTTGATAATTGGATACGATCACTACGCCTTTATAAGTAAAGTTATTTTTTGTAATTGGCAGTTTTCCTTTATAAGTAAAAGTTAATTTTTGTAGACCTTTTATATAGTAGAGGTGCCACTTTACCCGTTTATAAGTAAGTTTTTTTGTAAAAGGCTAATTCTATTGGAACCACCACGTTGTAGTCAAGTAACCACTTTATTGGTTTTTGTATATTGCCACGTTTAACACTATTTAGATACGCATTAACCACCTTATAAGTAAGTTAATTTTTGTATATATATAGCCACGTTTGACACCAGTTGACTATACATTAACAGAAGTAACCACCTTATAAGTAAGTTAATTTTTGTATATATATAGCCACGTTTGAACTAGTCGGCTATGCATTAACAGAAATAACCACCTTATAAGTAAGTTAATTTTTGTATACCTTAACTAAAGTAATTTTTGTATACTTTACTGAAGTTAATTTTTGTATACTTTACTGAAGTTAATTTTTGTATAAAAGTGCTGCTTTTGCTAAATACGTGCATAAGTGTAAACGCCCAGTTATCTACTTCGACACTGATTATCCCTTTTCCTTTAACTTTAGTTAATTTTTGTATCAAAAAGTGCTGCTTTTGCCAAATACTAACTAATACTAAAGACATATATATGTTTGTGCACTCTTCGACGCTGGTCATAATTTTTCCTTTACAGGTAAGTAGTTATTTTTTCTAAATTTTTAGAGGTGGATACCTAGTTGGTCAAGTATAAACAAATAATTTAACTATAAAAGTCCAAGCTATCTATCTTCTATATTTAAAAACGAGTTGAACCTATCCTATCTATCCTATCTATCCTATCTACTCTATCTACTCTATCTACTCTATCTATCCTATATAAAATTTTTTCGCTTCGATTATCAATCAGATGTTTCGTGAAACATCAAGACTCCTTTTTTTTATCAACAAATACAAGTTACACCAATTTAATTCCGATAAAAATTTCCCAAAAAAATATATTCCTTTGAGGATGAAAATATAGAACAAAGAATCCTGTTTCATTTGAAAAACCCGAAAAATTTGAATATATTTGTAATCTATGGTAAATATTTGTTTTATTTTTATGCGAATTATAATCGACCTACAAATCCGGGAGAACCACCACTACGACGAAAGAAAGGTCAAGGTAAGTCAATAATGGCAAGTGGTTTCTTTCAGGAACATTTAGTAGACTCAAGTTATTAGAAAATCAAAATTTACAACCCCAAAACTTGCCAAGAGAATCAATAAAATATTAAAAAAAGAAAGAACGACATATTAATTTTGCAATATTCAATCTAATTTTGGCGTATTTTCTTTGTGTAATGCCGAGAAGTGGATTGAATGTTATTATATTATAAATATGACACTTTGGTTCCGATAGAACATTTCAGCCAATAGCGTTTCCAAATGGTCGCATATTCAAATCAACCAAAAAGAGAGATTTATGGAAAGAAGGACTTCTTGGTAATTGTAAACTGTGTAAAGGAAATCCTCAACTTATTGGTAATGCTAGAGCAAAGAAAGAGTTTGACGCATACAATAACCTGCAAGGTGATTTTTGTTACTCAAAAATCAAGGCTATCGAGAAACATGCAATTTTTCCAAAATATCACTATATATGAACTAACTAAACTGGATAGAAATGTATCGGGTTTTGTACTCATAACAAATGCAATAATATCTGAACTGTCTGAAAAAAACAGTTCCAAAAGCTTTGGATTCAGTTTCTTTGATTACCTAACGTTGATATGCACGAAAGGTCTTACAGGAAAGGCAAATAATAAATACAATCACACAAGCGGTTCCTGATATGATAGATATGATATATGATAGAAATTTTCTAAATTAAGAAGAAATATTTTTTTAAAACTGATGGCTGGATCACAAGACATACGTACGTACATACTTAAATTCCTATTATAGAGGTTTTGCATTGTATTAAGTTCGGATTTGGGCAATTTCGGAATCAATCGGGCATTTCAGAAGTTTTAAACTAATGTATAATAATAACTATTATTATTTCGCATTCGGATTGGGCGAAAGGTTACTATTACCATTATTTTTTTCAAATTAAAAAAAAACTACAGGTATTATTAGGTAACATATATTAATATGTGTTTTACCAACTGTATCACCATACCAATTGTAATATCCATATGTGGGTCGTAATCGACATAAAATGTACTCTATGGTGCCAAATAAAGAAATTGATTTTTGAAATCAAACTTTGTTGCTTTGATTTTTTTTTGACAATAAATAAAAAATGTTACATTATTACTCATCAACAACCTTGAAAATTTGGCTAAATTAGAAGAATTGGAAGTTTAGTGGAAATTCCAGTAGAAGGCGTAGGGTTTGTTTCAATACATTTTTCCTTTTTTATTCTCGATCTTTTTTAATTGGCCCTGATTATGGAAAATTCCGCTCAATACTAAAATGTAACGCAATTATTTTTTTAATCTTTGAACCGACAATATCAATGCAATAATAAACAAGTAATAAAACTCTTAAATAATATTTTAATTTACATATTAATATTCAAAGATTATTTTTCCAATGCAAACCAACCTCCCAACAAGGAAGATCTTAAACTTGATAGTATATTACCCCTGTGGTGGTTCTGTACAATGTATACTAATATCTAAAAATATTGCTTTCGGTAAATATTAAATTTCTGACATATGTCAAATATCAATTAATTCAATTCAATGAACATTTTTTGTAATGAAAATTTTTTATTATTCAATTATCAATTATTAGTAACTGTTTTTGCGAAACCTCAAAAATACTTAAAAATTAGATGTATTTGTATTTGTATTTGTATTTGTATTTGTAGTTGTAATTGGCGATATTTCTTGTTGTTCAATACATGATAATAATGTTTGTATTTGAAATTGAAATTTATAAGTTTGTTCGAGTAGATTTGTTAAATGAGTTGCTTGAGTTTCCGATTCCTACACATTAATAATAATAATAATAATTGATTATATTTCCAGTGAAATGAGCCTCTATTCAAAAAAAAAAAAATATATATAATACTTGAAGAAGTGAATCACGTATTTCTTGTAATTCTTTAATATTAATTGTCGAGCTTTCGGGCTAAAAAATAAATCAAGTAATAAAAAGAGAAGATAAATAGCCAATCAATCAATCAATCAATAATAAATCAAATCAATCAATCGATCAATCAATCAATCAATCAATTTATTCATTCGTTCATTTTAGTTGCAATAATGATGATGATGATGATGATGATGATACTTTTTCAGGATCGTTTTCTTTTCGTTTTCTTTTTCTCAATTCTTCAATTTGTTCAATCAACAATTTCAAATCGTTTTCAGCTTTTTTATATTGTCGATATTTCTCAATAATAACTGACTGCTGTTGCTGTTGTTGTAATTCAGCAACAACATCTTTGTCATTTCCTAAATATTGTTTTAATGAAGTGAATATCTCACCAGCCATTTCAACAAGTGCTTCTAATGATCCTAAACCTTTTAAAGCTAAATCCTCGATTGATTTATCATTATTGTTATTGTTGTTGTTGTTATTCATATTTCTTAAAAAATTATAAAAAAAAAAAGATATCGTCGATCCGGTGTGTAAAATTGAAAGGCGCCAAGGGCGTGTGTAACATTATTATCCAATCGAATATTGTATTTCTAGAGATCTTTTCTAAATTTGTACTGGTTACACGACTAAATATACACTGTGTCGATCTGAATATAATATAAATTTCTAGAATATTTCTAAAATTATAAAGTATTCATTGATATCAAATAAAATATTCATTGATAAAAATAAACAATAATAACTTTATGTAGTTAAGAGAGATTAAAATGTGAATTCAATAAACTTTCTTTAAATAAAATGATAATAATAGTAATGTTGTTGAATTATAATTGTGACTTGCCTTATTTTATTTAGGACACTAGAGTATATAATAATAAATGTATTCCTTAATATGGACAAGACATTTATCTCTTGGAAGTATCATGTGTGTACAATTGGTTAGTTATTTAGTGCCACCAAAGACAACAATTGTTTATACCAACAAAAACTCAGAACACAAAAAGTCCCAATCTTTTTCTTTATTAATTATTGATTCCAAAAAAAAATCTTAAAAGAAAAAACAAAAAAGAAAATGAATTTTATTAAATCAATCATATGAATTGGAAAATAAGTATAAAAATAATGACGTAATATTTATAAAGCTTGTGTATATATACAAATATATACAAATATATTTATTATATTATATATATTCAGTTTTTTTTCATTTTTCATTCAAAAAATTCATCATTTAATAATAAATAATAGGAATTTATTTATTTATTGTTTATTTTTTTTTTAAAAAAAATAAATTTTTTTCCCTTTTAATCAAATTTAAACTCAAAGGTAAATATTTATTCTATAATTATGCTAGTTAATGGAACTGAACTTAAACATTTAAAATTTCCCCCCCATTTCCCTCTCTCCCATTTTCTTTTTTTTTCAGTAAAGAAATCATGACTTTTGCACAAAACGCTTACAACAATAACTACACCAACAACACTCAACAAAATGTCTCGACAGACACGACGACATCTCCGACTTCAAATTCGTACATTGGCTTGATTAATGAAGAGTCAACGACGCGTTCGAAAAAGCAAAGGGTTGACGATGATGGCTACGACAAATACGACACTCAAACTTTACCATCTATAAAACGCACCAAGCTTCAAGAAACCGATCCTTCAACAAATTACATCGTTAATCCTTCTCATTTAACTTTTAGTGAAATAAATTCCACTCCGGGTTACAACATTAATAGTATTATTAATCATAATAACGACACCAACGATTATGATTACACCAATAATCATTATAATAATAATATTGTTTATCCTTATAATAATTTAAATAATAATGTTGTTAGTAATGTCGATGTTAGTGATGGCAGTAATTTACCAGGTAAAATTTTCAATATTATTATTCCAATTGCTATTTAATATTAATAAATAAATTAAATTTATCTTTCGGTTGACAATTACAATTAGGTTATTATAATAATTATACAAGTAATTCTACGAACAATATTGACGACACTATTAATAACAATCACAGTAATATCAATCAACAATTTATACCAATGATTCATAATCCATACAACCATCCTATAAATGATAATGATAATGATGATAGCGATGATAACATAGATTATAGAGATAATTTCAATCCATATCTATATCAAAATATGACTAATAATAACCATTATACACAAAATCAAAATAATTTAATACCATACAATAATGTTAGCAGTAATGGCGATATAAACACTATTATTAGCGCAGATAATTTTTCAGACTCTTCTTCTACATTCAATCGTTCTCCATATTCAAACCCGAATAATAATATAAATACAATTTTAACTCCTCTATCATCATCATCGACAACAACGCCACCAGATATTGTCACTACAGTCAACAACAAAAATAATGAAAACAGCGAGAATAACGTTCCTATTATTATTAGTGATGATGAGGATGATTGCATTATTGTTGAAGCTAATAATAATCTTATTAACGATTATAATAATTATAATAATAAAGATATATGTTGGGGAATGATTGAGACTTCGGCAATGGTTATGAAACCTAGACCTTGTACTAGTGGTATAGGTTATGTTAGTGTAGAACTAGAAAGAAATACAAAACCAAGTAAATAAGTTTATTATTAAATGGTTTATATAAATCACTATACAAATTTATATTAATATAATTGAATAATATATTTAGCCGCCACGTATTTATATATATTTGTCAAGGCGAATGGAGAAGCAGTAAGTAACAACGATCATTTTAGCTACAATGGATATTTTAATTGCAAATCATTCTTTGTTAATATCAATACTTTTTGTTATAGTTTGGTACAGTTGAACCAGAGTTAGCTAAAACTCTGGTATCATTAATGGACGATAATCTTATTTGGACAGAAGCTTATATATCAAAGGAATATTCAATATCGGTATTTGTTTGTTTTTTGTTTGTTTATTTATTTATCTACATTCAACAATATTATAGATAATTAATATAAATACAAATTCTTCATATATATAGGACACATTAATTCCACTATATATTAATATATATGGCCATCCTGATAATACAAGTTCTGTTAGCAATCATTTATTCAACAATAATGTTACATTAAAGAATCCAATAGTAGAATATAATAAAAATACGCGTTATTCAAATCCTCATTATCCATTATCTGTCAACAGACTTATATCAGAAAATACTCTCCCTTTATTAAAGAATATGAATATTAATAATTTTATAGGTGGTAGAAGCGTTAATGTTAATAGTATTCTGGCTGCTAATGGAGGGCTATCAACAAAAGTAGCAAGTGATAATGTGAAAAATCAAATTGATTCCGTTTTTAATTCTTTAATGAATTCTGATGATATTTCAGAAGCACAACCTGGTTAGTTAATTAATTAATTTGTCTAGATGTTTACAGAGAGTATCAACGGCCTATTAAGTCTGCGTGATTTTAATATATTGGTAATTAAATAACTTTGATTTGTTTCATTGATAAACAAAAAAAATATAGATGAACGATTGATAACTCCATTATATAAACATCAAAAACAAGCATTATTTTTTCTATTGGAAAGAGAAAAATTTAATGATTTTACTAATGAGGAAACCAATGCCTTAACTTCTTTATGGAGAACCAAAAGAAACGCCGCAGATCGTTATCTTGTGTATTATAATGTGGTCACCGATGATGAAATCGATGAGAAACCTTCTCAAATGAGAGGCGGGATAGTAGCTGATGATGTTAGTAATTACTAGTATTATAATTACCAATAAAAATATTATTACCATTATCATTTATATTAATGTTTATTATTATTACTATTACTGTTTAATATATAAAAGATGGGACTTGGTAAAACCATTCAAATAATTGCATTGGTTCTTGGTACTTTGGAGGAAGCGAGAAAATTTTCAAATGTAAAACCAAAATCCAACAATAAAACAAAATCAACCTCACCAACTTTTTTAAACTCCGCCCTTATTACTACTGCAAATGATAATTCTGAAAAAAAACCAAATATAAATGATTATGATGATTCTGAGTTATCAGATTCTGATTCATATGTGGAAAGTACAGATGGTATAAAGTCAAGAGGAACTCTTATTATATGTCCACTTTCGACTATTTCGAATTGGGAGGATCAGTTTACTAGTCATGTCAAATCCAAAACTCTTAGTATTTACGTTTACCATGGAGGAACCAGAATATCAGATCCATCTCTTCTAGTTGATTATGATATTGTCCTAACCACTTATAATGTTACAGGCACTGAATATAATAAACAGACAAAAAACAATATTACTAGTGCTTTACAAAAAATTCATTGGTTTCGTATAGTGTTAGATGAAGCTCATGTTATAAAAGATGTAAATACTGTTCAGAGTAAAGCTGCTTGCTCATTAAGCGCTGAAAGAAGATGGTGCCTTACTGGAACTCCAATTCAAAACAAGTAAATTATCGTCATCTTTTTTTATTATCAATATATATGTTGTCTTTTTTTTTTTTATTTTAAAATAATTTATCATTTAAAAAAACCCATTTTTGTAGACTTGATGATCTTTTTGCTCTTATTAAGTTTCTACACATGTCACCATTTGATAAAAAGGAAAATTGGAATTATTATATATCTAAACCTATCAAAACGATAGATCCCATTGGTCTGAATCGATTACAAACTTTGATGAAATGTATCATGTTACGTAGAAAGAAATTTGCAAATGGAAGACAATTGTTGGCATTACCACCAAAAAAGGATCATATCACTTATCTTGAACTTGACGAATATGAAAGAAAGTTGTACGACAAAGTTCATTCACGTCAAACAAAAAAATTAAAAATCATGGAAGAAAATAATAATGTTATGCAAAATTATGTAAATATTTTGGCTTCGATATTAAGATTGAGACAAATATGTGCTCATTTTTCATTGATTGGTTCATTGCAAATACCTGACGACTTGGATGATGATAATGATGGTGTTTTGACAATTAAACGAGCTGTGGTGATATTGGAACTTTTTAGGGAAAGTGGTTTGGACCAGTGTTGCACATGTTCTCAAGATGTGAGTGATGTGTCAGTTATAACAAAATGTGAACATTTGTTTTGTGTTGAATGTGCAAAGAAATCTATGGAAGACATTCTTAAAAAAAGTTTATCATCCTCAGATAGCAGCAACAACATCAATAATAAGACCATCACCACTACCACTACCACTATTATTAGCAGTAATAATACTATTAGTAGTAGTTCTTTAGATAGTGATGATAACATTATTACCATCATTGACGATGATGATGGTGGTGGTGATGATGATGATGATGATGATGATAAAGATAATAGTATTAAATATAAAAACAACAGTTGGAGAAAGAATAAAATTGATTATATTAATAATCATAATTATAAGTCTTCTTTTTCGTCGTCGTCATCATCATCATCATCATCACTATCATTATCATTATCAACATCAACGACAACAACATTAAATATTTCATGTCCATCATGCGGAAGTGGTTTAAAAGTTGGAGATGTTATCGAAGTTAAAGATTCATTGTTTGATGAAATCAAAAATTCTAAGAAAACAATAAAACAAGAAATTAAAACATCAACTAGCGTTACACATAGCACTAAAGTTAAAGCCTTGATTGCTGATTTATTAGCAGTGAAAATTAATAATACCAAAAGTGTAGTGTTTTCACAATGGACAAAATTATTAGATTTAATCGAGGTAAATAATCGATTATTGTTATTATTACTAGAAGAAAAAGAAGAAGAAACGAGATTTTCTAACTTTATTATTGTTTTTGCACACACACACGCATATATTATTATTAGGTTGCATTAAAAGAAAATGATTTAACTTTTACGAGGTTAGATGGCACAATGAATAGATTAGAGCGTGCACAAAACATAGAATGTTTTAAAGCATCTGATAAAGTGAATGTTATTCTTGTTTCATTGAAAGCTGGTGGTGTTGGGTAAGTGTTAATGATGATGATGATGATGATAATTGTTGTTATTATCAAGTCTATATATAGTTTTATTTACATTTTAACTAATATTTATATATAATATTCTTGATAGGTTAAATTTAACCGCTGCTCAAAGAGTATACTTGATGGATCCTTTCTGGTAAGAAAAAGATGACATATTTTTTACTTGCTAATAAAAATTAAAATTAAGAATTAATATTTCACATATATATATTTATATATTTATCTAGGAATCCGTCTGTTGAAAATCAAGCTATTGATAGAATTCATAGATTAGGTCAAACAGCACCAGTCGATACTATAAGGTTTATTATAAAGGTATTTTTTGATGTTTTTGTATTAATTGTTATATACTCTCGCACATATGACCAATAAACTAATCATTAATATTAATTGTTGTCATCATAGGATTCAGTAGAAGAAGGTATTTTGAAACTTCAGAGTCGTAAACTAAAACTTGCTGAGTTAACATTATCACAAAAACTGAGTAAAAAAGAAATTGCACAAAGAAGATTAGAAGATTTGAAAGTTTTATTTAAATAATTTAAATAATTAAACAAAAAAATTATTAAATTATACACATACATTTATTTAAAAAATAGAACAATTAAGATTACATGTTTTTAATTCTAAACTATTAATTAATTAATAAATAGATAAATAATTGAATGGAACAGCTATTATGGATGAACCAAAGCTTTAGTAAACAAAATCTCCTTTAAATATGAAGATTTTCTTGTAGCAATTTTTGATTTGCTCAAGAAAATGATATAGATGCTTCTTTCAATATATTAATTAATATACGCAAAATTCGCCGCCAATGTACCCCACATAAACCCTAACACATTAACAATAAATTTCAAAAATTATATATTAATATACATACTTATCATTTCCTAAATGAATAAAATAAAATATTGGCATATATGAAATATTTTGGTGTTTTACACATTTTTGATTCATGTGTTATTATCATTTAGAACTAGGATTATATGTGTTATACGTGAACTGTTATTGGATAAAGGTAATATTAATATAGATGAGTACGATTCTGATGAAACGAGAACAACTGTATCAACACCACTATAAGATTTGATCGCTTGTCTATATTTTTTCATTTTATTAATAAAGTAACTTTGATATCTTTTTACAATCCTAACATATACGAAAAAATAAGTCAATTAATCATTACACATCTTGAGAATATATGAATCGATATTATTCGCCTCTAGATATTTACTTACCTCTTCGCGATCAAATACTGCCTTCCTATCTTGCATATTCCTATTAATTATGATTTCACCTTCTATGATGTGCATATACTTGACGAGATTTTTGAATTGTATATATTCTGTAGGATTGATTATCCTAGAGTTTTTCGCCTATTATATCTAGATTTGCGTGACATATTTAACATATTTATTAATATGGATAGCCAGACTTCGTTATTATTATGACATGATCCTTTTTATTATTGTACAATCATTTCTTTAAATTTATCAGGAAGCAATGTCATATGACATTTATATATCATGCCTGTTCTTGGACTAATGTGCCTTTATGATAAGCTTATGGTTGAAATTTTCGATAATTTAAGAGAATAAAAATTCTTTAAAATATTCAAAAAAAAAATTTTTATGCAATTAATCATGTATGTAGCTATATTAATTGTTGCAAAAGCATTCGATATTATTACATTTGTCCAGAAGAGTTCATATTCTAGCAAACGGCATAAAGATCAAGTAAACAATCGAATAATAAACTTAGATATTTCTATGCCTACATCCACAAATGTAATTGTTATGACGGGTGATAGGGCATAAATGCCCAATAACACTGTCAACACTACCCCCAGAATTATTGGAAAAGTAATAATAAAAATAGCTTTATTGATATACATTAACCCATCTCGTTCCAAGAATAATAATAATTTTAATGGTGCAATAAACAATATTCAATGCCACTACAAAATATTTTGTTGATTCTTCACTTTTGAAGTATACTGCATTAATGAAAACGATAATACCAATTATAAGCGTATAGAGTATAACACCAACTAATTCTATTCTGATTTCCTATAAGGTTTCGTAGGAAAGAGAAACCGGCGAAAGAACTAATATTAATATAAATTTAGTGAAGTGCATTGGTACCTTGACAATATATACAAGTATTCTAAATAAACAT